CAGTCGTGGTATTGAAGGTGGTGCCCTTGAGCAAGGCACCGAACCCCCAACTGCTCCCAATTTACTAAAAACAAGCCTATGGCAAGACATCTGGTAGGGGGGGCACCTGGGGTGGCAGCCAAATTTCAGGGGGGGCCGGTGCCACCCCTGGCCACCCCGTAGACACGCCCCTGATTTTGAGTGTCGTGTTCTGGGTGTTTTCTCCATGTGTAAAACCTCATGCTCTTCGTTCACTCCTTAACGTTCTCCCTCTATGATGTACAGCTGTGTATAAATCATGTTCAGTAGGGTTTGATTCTCTTGTATTTTGAGTCCCTCAAATAAACGCTCATACTTGGTCTTCATGCTGATTTTGTGAATCTCTTTGACTCTTTGTAGAACGTCATCCACTGGTTGATGAGAATCTTGTTGCATGTCTTCACTGACCTCAACTTTGACAGTGTGGATATACAGCAGAGTGTTTACTTCTATCTTTGCACCGGGGAAATTAAAGTGTCTTATATGACCTGTCTGATCACAGTATGAATGCTGATGCATAGCTCATGCAGGGACTAAATCTTTCATAAATTGCTCACAAACTTTACATTTGGACTGAATCTACTCTTTTCTATACAATAAAAATTAATGAGGACATGTGCTATAGACTACATGCACATCTACTTCTCCATTCTACTTAATACGGCTCCTGTCCCTGAAAATGTCTGGATTTTTAAGTCTTCTTGCAGACCTTCATTTTAAGTGATCTTAAGTCAAATAGGTGGCTAAAGCACATTGAAAATATATATAAATGGAAACTAGCGATACTATTTGAAAACAGAGGTGCTTCACAAAGCTTAGTGCAAGTAGTCCATCAAGCTCAAAAAATGCACCATAAAAGCTGCAAAGCATTTTTCAGCACACCGTAATTGATTTTATAAAGTTCCGGTCCTTGATTCTGATTGGCTGAGCCACGTTCTAAGCTGTTGTAAATGACTCTACAAATGTACACCTTTGTTTACGTTTGTCTGTTGCTTGGCAACCACTTTGTTGCAACCACAACTGATTCTGAGGAACTACATTGTTTGGTGGAAGAATACTGTTTTTAGTAATATCATTACACTTTATTTGCTCTGTTTTATTTTGTGAAACCTTACTACGTATAAGGAATAACCATTTTATAAAAGCAATAAGCCCCGTGAAGCTGTGGTTTACAGTGAATTTATAACAGCTTCGCGTCGTGCCTAACAACGCCCCTTAGCTGTTATAAATTCACTGTAAACCACGGCTTCTTGGGGCTTATTACATTAATAAACAAACGAGAGCTGCAGCTGATAACAAGATTTCCAGTTAATCTGTTTGTCACAAACAGCTATCAAAAGACTTGCAATACAGCTCATGAGTCATATAGACTACTAGCTTTTTGTGCTCATCAGCGGCCACCCCATTGACTTTCATTGTATGGAAGAGAGGTGCATGAACATTCTGCAACATTTCCTTTTGAGCTACATGGAAGAGAGGAAGTCCTTCTGGTTTGACACCATGAGGGTGAGTAAACGATGACAGAATTTTCAGGATTTTTTAGCGAACCACTTTTAAATGAGTCACTTGTCATATATTATGCAACTTTTTGTATTACATGATTCTGATTAAGTATTTTCATTTACCTGAAATCAGAGGTCACTGTTTTATTACTGTATAGCTGAATGAACCCATTACTTTTCAAGGACACACAGCTGGGCTCTGGAGATGCTTTTGAGTGTACCTCATATCTGAATAAATTAAAATTATTACAACAAATGTGTAAAAGATTAGTAAATGACGGTGCAATTGAAGTATTCCTTTACTTTATTAGTTAATTTCAGTGTTTTGTCTCACCTGGGGTCAGAGGTCATTGCAGGGGGGTAATCCATTGATTTATTACTCACTGACATACAAATGGAGTTTGGAGATGTTTTCAGAGTCTGGAGATGAATAGTACCATCCTCATCTCTCCCCTCGTCAATATCTCACTTCTCCAAGCAAAGAGGCTGGTTTAAGACATGTACAGTGAGTTCATAACAATGGAAAAAAAAGATGCTTTCGTTGCATGGAAACCATTTATTTGTCAGTTTCCTCAACAAAATGTGTTTTCAAAACAGTTTTTGGAAAACACTGGCTTAAAGGGATAGTTCACCTAAAAATGAAAATTTGATGTTTATCTGCTTACCCCCAGGGCATCAAAGATGTAGGTAACTTTGTTTCTTCAGTAGAACACAAACGAAAATTTTGAACTCAAACCGTTGCAGTCTGTCAGTCATATAATGGAAGTGAATGGGTATTACGGCTTTGAGAGTCAAAAAAACATACACAAACAAAACCAAATTAAACCCTGCGGCTCGTGACGATACATTGATGTCCTAAGACATGAAATGATCAGTCTGTGCAAGAAACTGAACAGTATTTATATCGTTTTTTACCTCTGATGCACTGCAATGTCCGAACTGTTAGACAAAAAAAGTCGATTTGATTACATCATTCCTACAATTTAGATTTGACCTATATATTAAACACTTTTGTTACATAATATCAAATTGTATAACAAAATATGGCGTATATTTTTTTCTGAAGAACTAAAAACTCCCTCTCGATGATCTTACTTCAACAGCCTTTTTCAAGCTGCCATGTTTGGCTTTTATCGGCTTTGATCGTGCCCCCTCAAAAACTGCAAAGAACTTTTAGTGAATTATTCAGTCGTCTTTGACAAGCGGAAGAACTGCTCAACCTCAGCGCCAGGAGGAGACACAACTTCACATAAATACAAAAGGTTAAATCACTGACTGACAGTAATATTGTTTCTTTAACTCTTTATGGTACGGAGTTGCCAAATGGCAAGAATTAATTTCTACTCATTTCCTTGTTATTCTGAAAAAAAGGCAATATATTGCACTATGGAAAAGGGCAGGCCTTAAGTCACATGACATTTGAATGTCCATCCGAAACTCTTTTTCTCACTGTCAACCTCACACAGAAGACACCTGTTGAAGTGCTCCAGAAATTGCTCTATTAAGCTAATTTCTAAACATCTCTTCTCAAGTGGGATTTTTTTTTTTTGCAGCATCTTTGTTAAACAAATTAGATCTTTTTATTCACAATTGAACTTTTTCTAGTTTTGCTGTAAATTGAGAAAAGATCAATGTTTCCATATGGCAATGCTGTACCACTGCGGAAAAAATAGGTATGTTGCCGTATGCTGTACCACAGTGGAATTGTAGCAATGTATTTCCTCATTGGGATTTTTTAATAGATAGTAGAATGAATAATATGATTGCAGTTATTTATTCATTTGAAGTGTTTATTGTAGTATAGTTGTATTTGTATGAATAACAAAAATTATTTCTTCTTTTCAGAACATGAATACAGCAATATTTTACAGAAAAGCTAATAGGAAGAGTGCAGAGTTAGCTCTTCCATGTGATGAGAGTGAGGATGAGTTAGCCTTCAGTGAAGGTTAAATGATAGGGATCTACTTATTTTTTGGTTTGCATGAGTTCCGATCAATTTCTAAAAGAAATGTGCATTTAAAAGAAAATCATAATTTTATAGAAAAACTACTTTTTTGACCATTTTCCATTGTGGTACAGCGCTGCCATATAGCAACATTTCCCTAATAAGTAGTAATAATAACAATTTTTTTTTTTTTTTCAAAAATCTGTTTGATTTGTATGATTGAAGCTATTTCATGTAATAAAAACTTATTTGAAATTTGAAACTTAATCTAGCGTAGCGTTAGTTCTGGCAGGTCACGTTAGTCAGGCTCGCATCAGCTGACTTTCAGCTGATCCCCATCTACCTATGGGAATACGACACCTATCTAAGCATTCATATATAAGGTCCCGCAGTAGTATCAGCAGTTTTCGCATTGCTCAATAGCTAATTACCCTCCTCCATCCCCAGCTCCTCCTCTGTCAGTCAGGATTCAGCCTTCTGATTCTCCTTGAATCAGACTAATTCTAAAATGTGTACATAAAATTATTGAACTTTAACGATATCTGCAATACATTCATGTTGGTTCTGTTCTGTTTACCCTGGGGGGGTATCGCTGCTCTCCCTGCTCTCATCCATGCTAGGCTGCATGGATGCGCAGGGAGTTCTTGCCCAGAACAGAACCATACCGCCAATCATCTTTGACGATAGTGGTCCTGACAGAATTTGAATATTTCATGGTTCAAACATAATGCATACCATAGAAGGTTAATGACTGTGAATGGTGATATTGGGTTATTGTTAACCTAAAGTTTGAGTGGCAGAAATGTAAAAATACCTCCGAGAATGTATTTATTGCTGTTTCCCAACAAATTAGGACTCGTATAAACCATGTTCATGTTTTTTTTTTTGTTCAAAATGCATTTATTCTCAATTTTACAGTTGGTATCTCCTGATATTGGATATATTCCATAAAATACAATATTGGGTAGTCTATAAATTAATTTAAAAAAAACTTTTTTTTCTAATCTAGTATTTGTCCCTGCTTTTAGATTTTAACCTTTTTAACAACATTTTTAAAAAACATTTTAAACCATTTAACTTCATAAACATTTTAAACCATTTAACTTCATAAACATTTAAGCGCTTACAAAAAGTGTCATAATATTAACATGTTTTGGGGCACATATAGTATTTGCATATACTCAAACATGTATATTTCAGTACCTGATCGGATATCTGATAGCACTTAGGGAAACAAGTATGGGTTCGGAACAACATGGGGTGTTTTTTTATTTCAGGGTGAACTATTCCCTTAATAGTACCTCTAAAAAAAGACAACTTTCTTTTCTATTAAGTGTTGGTGCTCTTTAAATGTTGCCACATTTAAAGAAATACTTTTATTGCATTTGAAGAATTTCTTGGAAAACTACATCTGAACATTTTTCAAATATTTTAAAACCAATTTAACTTTGAGTTGCTATGTAATTCAAGTCCTCCGAAAAATAATCGTTTAAATGCATTTTCCACAGAGAAGATGATGAAGTTGGGAGTGTTTCTCAGCACATGCGAACAAGATCACTTTTTCTACATCCCACTTTACAGCACGTGGAGGGCAGCGCTTCGTATGCCTCTCTTCTTACTCGGTCCATTTCTGACTCCACATCCGTCTCAATTTCATAATCTGTGTAAAATCAAAGACATGCATTGTACATGATTTCTGTTCCCTCCACAGTTCATGCTGTACAAGGGATGAGTTGGGGATGTCAGAAAGTTACTTCAGAATGGAAAATGGAAGTCTGTACAGCAGGTGGCACACAAGCTGAATTTGAAGTTTTACTACTACTATTTCTGCAATGTATTTATTTATGTGGCAGAAATATTAAGAGTAGTATGCTGTTCCAAATTCAGCCGAGATTTAAATTTAAGTTTTGTTTTGATTGCATCATTTCATCATTTCAGTGGGCCTTGTGAGTTCCTATACAAAGCTAAAAAACTACATTTAACTATGTGATCAGAGCAGGCAAAGTAACTGTAATGCAGATTAAACTTTGTTAGATTCCAAAACATTTGTAATCAATTCTTTGAGTTTTATTAATTTTAGTTATCAATTACTTT